TCTCTCTCTCTCTCTCTCTCTCTCTCTCTCTCTCTCTCTCTCTCTCTCTGTGTGTGTGTGTGTGTGTGGTATGCATGGCTCCCACACAGAGGGGCCTGACATTACTTCAAGGATTTGGGTATGGGAGTTTGAGGTTTTTATTCCTTTGTTTTGGGGTCTACATTTGTCTGAGCTCACTTTTTTTTGGTGCCTGTTCTCAGTCAGTTGTTTGTTCTTCTGAGTTCATTTTTTTTTGGTGCCTGTTTCAGGTTTGACTCTGTACTGCGCTGTGTCTGGCTGTAAGTTGCTCAGTCTGTTTTGTCAGTACATGAAGATTGGCAGGCAGTTAGGGTCAATTAGGGTTTTGATAGGTCAGCCCTGAAAAGAGGAATAGTCTCAACTGAAAATAGTTGTTTCTTGAGCTGTCGTTTCCCATTTCTGGCGGAACCACATTTTGGTACAACGCTGCTTTTCAGCAAAACCACATTTTCGTCCCGTAGCGAGGACACCTCTGCGACTCAGCAGAGGAGCGTGGACGTCTGGTTGGTACCCAGGCAAGCCGTTTTGAGGCCAGAATTTCAGGGCCGGGATCTGGGCCGACATCCAGGACCGTCGATCGGTATTACGGTCAGACGGCCCAGGAGCTAGGGTAGAGAGAGAGAGAGAGAGAGAGAGAGAGAGAGAGAGAGAGAGAGAGAGAGAGAGAGAGAGAGAGAGAGAGTTGAGAGCTGGTGATTTCGGCTGCCCAGACTCGGACGTTTTATTCGGACAGAGACTGAGGGGGATTATTGTTGGGGACTAATCATTCACAGGGCTATTGAGTTGACGTCTCCCCTTCGTCTCTTCCTACACCTCCTTCGTCCGTGGATGTGTTTGCAGACATGGCGGCTATCTTCTATGTATGAGCCGCTATGCCCCCCACTTGTGCTTGATTGACGATGGATGTATGCTGTCAGTCCTGAGTCTCGATGAGTCCTGTGTACTTCAGTCTTCTTGTGAAAAGGCATAGGCTTGTATGACCATTGGTCTTTCCAACTGCAGTTTGTTTTTTGGTGTGGCTGTGTTTGCAAGGAGCTGATGCTTTGCCGCAAATTTAATCGGGGCGAAAACTTTGCATATCTAAGGATGAGCAACGATAGGCAAAATAATGTCCTGAACAGTGAATACTAATGATGATTCTAATGAATGGTTTCACCCTACGCTGACTGAAAAATTCTACTTTGTATCCGTTGTGCAAGTTCCGTGCCGAGCTCGTTGTCGACTTTGAAGAAGTGTCGTCTTGATGGAGTATGATTTTATGGCCCGGTTTAGAGAAGTCGAGACAACAACAGTGTCCGTTTTTGGGTAAGTGGCGCGACTCTTTCCCGATCGCTATGGTCTGGGCTCTGGAGAGAAAAGCGAGCTCTGCCGGCGAAAACGGCGTTGTTCACATTTGAGTGCAAAAGCATGCAAGGAGGAGGGTCCAGACGACGGTTTGGGGCTCATTAGAGTGATTTCATGGCAGCATGTTTTGTTTTGGTCTTATTGGGGCTATAAGTGAGTGTCTAATTCTGGTCTATGTGAGGGGGACGTGTGCGTGGTGATGTATATTACAAGTCTTCTTGTGAAATCTATGTTTATTGAACTTCATTCATGAATTTCATGAATGATAATTCAATTAAGTTGAATTAACAGGAGCATATTTAGATGACTAGAGTCAAACATGGGTGTGTCGCTCCTAAACGACGTCGAAGTATACTTTGTCGAAGCGCTGGTTCAAGGGGAGCTCATTCAGTATTATTTTGTAATGCTCAGCAACGAAATATGAAAGCTATGATATATTCTCATCAACATAGGAAAAAACTGCACGTCTTAGAGAGATTTGCTATCTTTATGGGTCACCAGAATAAATGCTGCAGTACGCGAACAGGGTTTATATCAGGGCTGGTCTCCGGATGGACCGGGGACCCCTACCCCATCCGCGGTCCTCCGGGTGGGCCGGCCGGTGGCCTGGGCCGGTTCCCTCCCGGTTGCCCCCAGCGCATTTTCGCTGGGGCCTGATTTTTTTTTTCGCCGGTGCATATGTGTTCCCAAGGCCTCGCGGGGGTCGGCCCTGCCCCGCGATTTCGAAACCGGGTCGTGTAGGTCCGGATTTTTCAAGTGCAAAAAGTGGCCAATCTTGGCCACCGATATCGCAGATCAGAGGCAAAGATCGGCCAGGACCCCATTTCTTAAGAAAAACGGGCAGAGGATATCCGCCGCTGATCAGCAGCGGAGAACCGCCACACATTTTTCTTAAGATGTGGGTCGGGTAGTGTTACATGCCCAGTTGGGCGATGTACATAGAAACCGAGGATCCGCAATGTGATAAAAAGGACTGAATGGACAATGCTGTGCAAGTGGACTCTGAACTAGCAATGTGCATTCCGATACATACAAAATGGTGTCGAATAGCGCAGGGAAGATTTAGATACAAGACCTGACCTGACCGAGACTGACCTTTATCACGTAGTACAAGATAGCGAAGCAGAATGCTAGAATACTGATGACTAACCCAATCAATGTTTCATCGTAGACCACACATACATCATGCTCATCACAAGGTGTGAAGGAGCCTGGCGCTGTACACAGGAAGGAAGCGCCAGGTCCAGACATACACAGACGAAGAGGAGGGGATCAGACGAAGAGGAGGGGATCAGACGAAGAGGAGAGGGAGAGATGGGGATGTCGTCAACACCAAGTCTTTGTCACAAGTCCCAAATAATCCCTCGTTGCAATGTCTGAAGCCAAAAAGTCGAGTCTGGATCCAGTGTCACCAAGCTCTCTCTCTCTTCTCTCGTAGTCTGCTGATGCAGTGAAGTCAGATGATGAGAGGGTGAGAGGGAGATGTTGGACTGAGAAGAGGAAGAAGAAGAACTCTCTCTCTCTGTTACGAGCCAGGTACTAACCTGTGAAGTTGGCGCTGTGCTGCAGGTACCTCGAAGACGAAGCTGGAGCAAC